CAGTTCTACTAAATCCCCCAAAACTGCTGCTGCTCCTTGAACTTCATACACAAACAGTGGGAATAAACAGTATAACATTCTAACAAAGAAGCCAAATCAGTGTGAAATTGAGCATTGAGAGCAAATTGTAAAAGATACTGCCACTGTATTTTGATAATTGTCTGAAAACTAATTTTATTTCTATTAATTGTGGCCACTGTGATCAGGAACCTACTTTTCCCCACCCCCTGCTTCAACCACCCCTACCCCTTGACATGCAAACAAAAGGCTTATTAATGTAGCACAAAGAGGAGTGGTTTTAATCTTGCAAGAATAGGAGTATTTTTTCCTCTTTCATATGCAGAGCACTGCATGAGTGTTGCAGACAGCACTGATGACAAAAATGATTCAAATGTCCTATTGGCCTGGCCCCCTGACATATGCTTATGTGCACACCAAACACACACACACACACACACACACACACACACACACACACACACCCCTTCCTGCTAGCAAGAGATTCTAGTAAACATGATTTTTTCCCACATTTTATTTTCAAAAAAAAGAATCTCCGTGAGCTTTATGGTTTTAGCATTGATATCTAAAATATTGTATTTAGCAAAAAACAAAAATCTCTCTTGCTCTTTCTTTCTCTGTGTCTGTGTGTGTATGTGTGTGCCTCTACCTCTGCCTCTGCCTCTCTCTCGCATCTTCTGGAAAGAAGAACATCTAATGCATTTTTAAAGTTTCTCTGTCTTATAATCTAGATAGAGTAGATTTAGAGCATTCTAAATCTAAGATCTATGATTGAATTATATCTCCCCCACCCCCAAAATATGGATTAAGTTTTTTTTTTTAAGCAAAGACTCTCTTTTATCTTTGGATTTCTCACTTGAGGAATATAAGGCCTGGACATTCCTGTGATATTTTATTTGTAGATACAAAAAAATAGAATGAAATTGTGGGCAAGCAAATCTTTCAAGCATATAAATGGAAATGAAAGTAAGATAGCACAGTAATTAACACAGATGAAAATACTTGGTACTCTTCCCTAGAATTCTTGTGGGTGATAAATTGCCTTAGCTGGAAACTATATTTTCAAGTTGTAAATCTTTGTATGACTAATGACTTCCCTGTATTTTGCAATGAAATTTGAGAACAAATATTAATATGTAGTCTTTATTTATCTATAAAATTATAATACCAGAGCAACAGCATGAGCCTGCACATAAAATTAGGGCCACAAATTATTACTTGATGGCCATTTTACCCACTTAAGTACATAGGTAGACAGAAATGCAGGATGGCTAAAGTTCACAGCCCCTCATCTTGTCAAGTGGTTAAAAGATTTCCATTGAAGGGAAAATACTTATTTTAATTTGAATCTTCTTAATGTATAATATTTCAATTGACTGAAAAGAATGATCAGAGCCATCTTGCAAGCATCTTTGAACAGTGCATTTGCCCTACTTAAATTAGTATGTCTACTGGAGAATGTTTTTATAAGTGGGTATCTCCAATTTCTCACATATCACAGGTGCTCCAGCCCACTGTTAAACTGGAGAATGGCACATCAGAATAATAGTATTTGTTACCTTCTAAGGGTATCTGTAGTGAGGTGCTTTCTCAGTTCAAAAGTTACCTGGAGGGATTTACCTCAGAACTTAGAATAGCCCTCGCACATAGCTATTAATTCTTAGGTACCACTCATTTTTTTAAAGGAGATGGCTTAGTTTTGAGCCAGAGTTGCCTCCATAGTCCAAGGGCTAAAGATAACCAATACCAGAAAACTGGTTTTGATTCACAGTTCAACAGTTCCTAAATCTTGAGTCTAATTATATCAGCCACCTCATGATATGAGAGAAACATGTGAAATCAAAGGGCATTGATATATTATAAAAAATACAAGAACTGTGAAACTTTTAATTCTTAGAATTTAGTCAGAGTCTAAATGCCCATCCCTCAGGGATGCTGCAAAGGAACTTTTTTTCCCCTTCTTTTTAAAGATGTGGCACACAAGTAAGGATTAGATACATAAATGGTCTATGTACACATGAAGTTTGGGCCTCTCACTGGTCCTCACTTCCCCTGGTTTAGGATCAGGTACCCTTAGTGATGTTATGTGTCCCCCTCCCACTCCTCCTGGCAGTATCTCACTACTGCTGATTTCTCTCTTGTAGTTTTGTGATTAATATTCAGGACCCACTTATGAGTGAGAACATGTAGTATTCAGTCCTTTGTTTCTGTGATAGATCACTGACTGTGATAGATTCTAAACCCATCCAAGTTACTCTGAAGGCCATAATTTTGCGTTTATGGCTGTGTACTATTCCATGTATATGTACCACAGGTTTTGGGTTTTTTTTTAATCCAGTCCACTTTCGATGGGCAGCATGGTTGGTTCTATGTTTTTGCTACTGTGAATAGTGCTGCAATAAACATGTGTGCGTGGGTATCTTGTTTGTAGAATGATTTATGTATCTCCAGGTATATTCCCAGAAGGGGGGTTGCTGGGTCATATGGAAGGTCAATTTCTAGATCATTTAAAAATAGCCACAGTTTTCCATAGAGGTCGTACTAGTTTACACTCCCACCAACAGTGTAGGAGTGTTCCCTTTTCTTCGCAAGATATGCTGTAAAGGAGATTTCTATCCTGAGTGTATCCTCTACGGTCTTTTCCAGCTTTCTGATTCTGTGATTTGTAGGTAGATTTTTAAAATATGAATATTTGGGTCATAGTCTTATCCTGATAATTTTTACAGTTTTCTTCTATAGACACGTGTGAATTTAAAAATGTTCCCTTAGGTAATGTGACAAAATATAGCCCAAAATTCTATACTAAAACAACTGAGTGAACAAACAGGGTAAACTTTTATTGATTTCCCCATTTTATCATCCCCTTTATACTAATTTATATTCTATTTAATTAAAAATGAATCTGTCAATTTCTGAAATGGAATAGTGGTTTATATACCACTAAAACTCCCACAAAGAACAATTGTAAATTCTGGGGAAAATATAACATAACTGCCATTTGAAGGAACTGGAGAGGAAATAACAGTCATCAGAAAATAGAGGGTAAAAAAAAAAAAGAAAGAAAATAGAGGGTGCTTTACCTTTAAGAAGGAAATCACACTGGTTGAGGATCACCATCATATATCTCTCACCCTGACACCAATCCTTAGTCTGAGCATCATGGGGGTAGAGGGGAGTTTATAAGCAGACTTACAAGCTTTCCCCATCTATGGCTACCTCTTTTCCAGGATTTTCCTCCTCAAATTCCACTCACTACAGCAGCTCCAAATTTCATTCTCTAATACAGGAGACAGTAAAGTTTTTGTGTAAAGTGCCAGAAAATAAATATTTCAGACTTTGTAGGCCACATGCAACCTTTGCTGTATTTGGGGGGGGTGGTTTTTATGCTCTTTTAAAAATGTAAAAACCATTCTTAGCTTGAGGATCCTACAAAACAAGCCAGATTTGGCTTGCAGGCAATAATTTGCCTACCCCCAATCTAACATATTAAGCAAGTAAGACTACTTCATCTAACATACATGTATTTGGATTCCCAGAAGGAGAGGGGAGAGAGAATGAAGCACAAAAAAAGCATTTGAAGATTTCAGATTTGATGAAAGATCTCAGATTTGATGAAATGCATCAATGTACAGATCTAAGAATCTCCATAAGCTCCTGGATATATAAATACATAAAAACAAACGGGCAACAAAAACAACAACAAAAACCAAGCATCTCATAATCAAATTTTTGAAAAATAAAGGTAAATACAAATTCTTAAAAATAACCCTGTTTTTACAATACTAACACTAAGTCAACTGCACAATGTCAAGGATGCATATCATCATCCCTATAGCAAACACTAGAAAATAATACAAAGAGAACAAGTTTAAACATCATTAGAGAAATTTAAAGGGAATACTTTTTTTTTTTTTTTTTGAGTTGGAGTCTCACTCTGTCGCCCAGACTGGAGTGCAGTGGCTGCTCGTGGCCACCGCAGCCTCGACCTGCTGGGCTCCGGCGATCCTTCCGCCTCAGCCTTCCAAGTAGCTGGAATTACAGGCATGCGCTACCACGCCCGGCTGATTTTTTGATTTATTGTATAGATGAGGTCTCGCTGCCCAGGCGGGTCTCAAACCCTCGGGCTCAGGCAATCCACTCACCTCAGCCTTCCAAAGCGCGGGATTACAGACTGAGCCACCGAGCCCGGCGGGAATACTTTTAAAAGATATATTAATCCAAAAGAAGACAGAAAAGGAGAAAAAAAAACAAAAGATGAAATGGAGCCATAGACTACAAATTGAAAATCAAAATGATAGGCATAAATCTGAACACATCAATAATTATTTCAGTGGTACATATACACGAGCAAATACTGCGCAGCCACACAGAAGGACAAAATTATGAACTTCGCAACCATTTGGATGGACTTAGAGTCTATAATACTCGGTAATCTATCACAGAAACCAAGAACTGAGTACCACATGTTCTCACTCATAAGCAGACCTTGAACAATTATTATAATATTATAAGAAAGGAACTAGGGCAGGACTCAGTGGCTCAGCCTGTAATCACAGCACTTTGGGAGTCTGAGGCAAGTGGACTACCTGAGCCCGCGGGTTGGAGACCAGCCCAGGCAACTTGGCAAGACTTCATCTCTACAATAAATCAAAAATTAGCCTGTAGTTCCAGCTACTTGGAAGGCTGAGGCGGAAGGATCAGCGGGGCCCAACAGGTTGACACTGGGATGGCCATGAGCGTACCACTCCACTCCAGCCTGGGCAAAAGAGTTAGACTCCAACTCAAAAAATAATAAAATAAATAAAGTCTGCTCTAGACTTTTTTTTTTTAACAATCCCACAGCATTTATTGTCATCTTGTAATAACATAAGGGTAATCAAAACAATATGAACAAATGTTTTTGAACTATACTCCAAACAAAGGACACCTAAAACACAAAACTATATTGCTCTCTCAAAAATTTCTCACTTCATTGATCATTTCTAGTTGGAGACACTTTGCAGCAGGGTAATATTATCTCCTTTTAGCATGATCCAACACAATTGTTTTCTTGACTGTGTTTTAGAATGAATCTCTTCTGCATAATCTAATACAAGGTTCATATACTCATCAAAGCCAATGATACAGGCCGCTATCCTCATATTCACTTGCTCATAAAGCCACACCTGAATCCAGGATTTGTTTTTCAAGTATCCGAAGATGAGGTTGATGGTCTGCACCATCACCTTCTGCACTTTCTGGCTCTGGTCACAGTAAGCCACGGTGGAATAATCTCACAAACAGCACACATGCCTAGACTTTTTTAGAAAAAAAAAAGGGATTGGCGGTAGTTGGAAACTGCCAGGGAAACAGGTGTGATGAGGGTCACACCTCATCAACAAGGGTACTTGCATAATGTACATTTGTATACCTAACCCTGAATTGTACCCCCACATCTTTAAAATAAAAAATTTTAAAGTTTTTTTTTTAAAAAAAGGACATTTCATACTATTAAATGGTTACTATATCAGGAAGACTGGCAATCATACTTAATAATATGCAGTAGCTAATAATAGCTAATAGTACTACTTCAGAAAAAGCTGGTGAAACTAAAAAGAGAAATTGACAAATCCAAAATCATAGTTGGATATTCCAATATTCCCTCTTCATAACTAATAGAAACACTAGAGAAAAATTTTGTAAGGGCATAGAAGATTTGAACAACATTGTCAACCAATTGGACTTAATTGATAACTTTTTTTTTTTTTTTTCTGAGTTGGAGTCTCACTCAGTCGCCCAGACTGGAGTGCAGTGGCCGCTCCCGGCCACCGCAGCCTCGACCTGCTGGGCTCCGGCGATCCTTCCTCCTCAACCTTCCAAGTAGCCGGAATTACAGGCATGCGCTACCATGCCCGGCTAATTTTTTGATTTATTGTAGAGATGAGGTCTCCCTGCCCAGGTGGGTCTCGAACCCGCCGGCTCAGGCAATCCACTCACCTCAGCCTCCCAAAGGCGCGGGATTACAGGCTGAGCCACCGAGCCTGGCTTTTAATTGATAACTTTAAAGGAATACATATTATTTTCTTTTTTTTTTTTGAGTTGGAGTCTCACTCTGTCGCCCAGACTGGAGTGCAGTGGCCACTCCCAGCCACCGCAGCCTCGACCTGCTGGGCTCCGGCAATCCTTCCGCCTCAGCCTTCCAAGTAGCCAGAATTACAGGCATGCGCTACCACGCCCAGCTGATTTTTTTATTTATTGTAGAGATGAGGTCTCGCCTGCCCAGGCTGGTCTCGAGCCCACAGGCTCAGGCAATCCACTCACCTCAGCCTCCCAAAGGCAAGGGATTACAGGCTGAGCCACTGAGCCCGGCTTTCATATTATTTTCAAATGCACATATAATATGTTCACTGAGAAAGAATGTATACTGGGTCATAGAATAAGTCAATAAATTTCAAAACTAAGTGATATAAGTCAGACAAAGAAAGATAAATACTGTATGATCTCACTTGTATAAGAATTCTAAAAAATCAAAGTTATAGAAACAAAGAGTAGAATCAGAATGGCTACTAGGGGCTATAGAGAGGGAAAAATGGTTAGATATTGGTCAAAGGGTACGAACTCTCAGTTATAAGTTCTAGGGATTTGCACAGCATGGTGATTATAGTTAACAATACTGTGTTGAATACTTGACATTTGCTGAGAAAGTGCACCTTAAATGTTCTCACCACAAAAAAAAGAAAAAAGAAATGATGTGAGGTGATGAATAGGTTAATTAGAAGATATGGGGTCATCATTTCACAATGTATATGTATATTGAAACATCACATTGTACAGTAAATATATTCTATTTTAATTATCAGTTATGCCTCAATAAGTCTGCAAAAAAAAGAATATATCATAAATTGCTCCATGGCTCACACCTTTAATCTAAGCACTTTGGAAGGCTGAGGCAAGAGAATTGCTTGAGCCCAGGAGTTCAAGACCAGTAACATAGCAACACAGCAAGATCACAGCTCTACAAAAAATCAAAAAATTAGCCAGGCATAGTGGTATGTGCCTGTAGTCCAGCTATTCAGGAGGCTGAGGTGGAAGAATTGCCTGAGCCCAGGAGGTGGAGGCTGTGGTGAGCCATGATCATGCCACTGCACTCCAGACTGAGCAACAGAGTGAGATTCCAACTCAGCTCTCTCTTATCTCTCTCTCTCTCTGTGTGTGTGTGTGTGTGTGTGCGTGTGTGTGTGTGTGTGTGTGTGTGTCTGATTTTTTTTTTTTTTTGGAGTTGGAGTCTCACTCTGTTGCCCAGGCTGGAGTGCACTGGCACACTCACGGCCACCCCAGCATCGACCTGCTGGACTCTGGCGATCTTTCTGCTTCAGCCTTTCAAGTAGCCAGAACTCTAGTCGCATACCACCATGCCTGGCTAATTTTTGATTTATTGTAGAGATGGGTCTTGCCAAGTTGCCCAGGCTGGTCTCGAACCCGCAGGTTCAGGCAATTCACTCCCTTCAGTCACCCAAAGTGCTGGGATTACAGACTGAGCCACTGAGCCCAACTGTATGTAAATTTTTAAATAGAAAAATATGTTCATGAATTTGGAACTTTTAAACACCCTCAAGTCTCGAGCATTTAGCCCATGTGCCAAAACAAAACAAAACAAACAAAAAAGGGAAGCTAGAAAATATTTCAAACTGTGTTACAATGAATATATGGCATATAAGCCTTTGTGGGATGAAGCTAAAGCAGTACTTAATGGGAATCTTGAAGGTGTAAAGGCTTATATAAGAAAGAAAGAAAGAAAGATTAAAATCAATAATCTAAACTTCCAAATTAAAGAGTTAGAAAAAGAGGGCTCAAATAAATCCAAAATATGTAGAAGGAAGAAAACAATAAAGCTAAGAGGAGAAATTAGTTGGCTAGAAAATAAACAATACAAAATTGTTTTACTGTAAAGATTAATGCAATTGATAAAGCCCTGTTAATATTGATCAACAGAAAATAAAACATAAAGTACCAGTATCACTATAATGACTTCACTGGCCATGCACAACAAAGAATACAGACATTTCAAAATTAGTTAAGAAAAGTCACTAACAAACTACTACAATGAGCAACAACAGCAATCCCTGGGGAGGAGCAGAATCTAATTTTCAGAGTGGCCATATGATTTTCAAACTGTCTAGTTTTCAACAAAAAAATCATGAGGCATACAAAGAAGTAAGAATGTATGACCAATACATAAGGGGAAAAGACAATTAATAGAAACTGTCCCTGAGGAAGATCAGACATTGGAATTACTAGACAAAGACTTTAAATCAGCTATTTAAAATCTGGTAATAGAGCTGCAGGAAACTTTGTCCAGAAATCTGAAGGAAATCGTGAGAAGTATATAAAGACTATTAATCAAGAGATAGAAATTACAAAGAAAAAGTAGATAATTCTGGAATTAAAAAGTATAATAACCAGAATTTTAAAATTTAACTAGAGGCACTCACTCACAGATTTATGTGAAAAGAATCACATGAAAGTATCTGTAAGCCTGAAGATAGGTCAACTGAGAGTGTTCAGTCTGAGGAACCAGAAGAAAAAAAAAATGAGGATAAATAAATTAAAGAGAATGTAAGAGATCTGTGAGACACCACCAAGCATATCAAATATGCTTAATGGAAGTCCCAGAAAGGAAGGGAGAAAAAGAATGTTTGAAGAAATAGTGGCTGGAAATTTATCAAAACTGATTTTTAAAAATACATTAATCCACACTCCCAATGAACTAAATAAACTCCAAGTAGGATAAACTCAAAAAGATTCACAGCAAGGCACATTATAATGAAACTGTCAAAAGTCAAAGACTAAGAAAGAATCTTGAAAGCAGCAAGAGAAAAGCAACTCATTGTACAAAGCATCTTGAATAACATTAATAGTTAAATTCTCACTGGAGGCTAGAAACAGTGGAGTGCTATTCTGAAGTGTTGAAAGAAATGATAATTGTCAACCAAGCATTCTCATCCAGCAAAACTATCTTTGAAAATTGCAGGAGAAATTAACACATTCCCAGTGAAAACAGAAAAACTGGCATCACTAGAGTAGACATGCCCTAGAAGAAATGCTAAAGGGAGTCCTGGGTCCTTTAGCCTAAAATAAAACTACACCATAGAATAATTTGAATCCACACAAAGAAATAAAGAACACTGGTAAAGGTAACTATATAGGTTATTATAAAAGTCAGTATTAATGGTGTTTTTTATTTGTGACTCCTCTTTATTCCTATCTTATTTAAAAGACAGTTGTGTAAAATAATAATTATAAATCTATGCTAATAGGCACAGAATGCATAAATATGTAATTAATAACAATAACAAAATAATGGGAATAATGAAACTATATAAGAGCAAAGCTTTTGTAGACTATTGAAATTAAGTTGCTAATTATATCCAAACTAAATTCTGTTTGTATTTATTTTTTATTTTAAAGATGTAGGGCAAAAGTCAGGACTAGGCCGAACTAAATTTGTATAAATTAAGATGTTAATTGCAATTTCAAAGGAAACAGAAAGAAGGAAATATTAAAGATCAGAGTGCAAACAAATGAAATCGTGAATAGAAAAACAACAGGGAGAATCAAGATAATAAATAGTTGGTTCTGTGAAAGATTAACATAATTGATAAACCTCCAGCTAGACTGACCAAGAAAAAAGAGAGAAGACTCAAATTACTAAAATCAGAAAGGAAATGTGGGTGTATTTAGGCTTTACAGAACTAAAAAGAGTTATAAAATAATACTATAAACAATAGTATGCCAATGAAATAGATAACCTAGATGAAATAAACAAATTCCTAGAAACACATGAAATAATAAAAATAGCTCAAGAAAAAATAGAAAATCTGAAAAACCTACACAAACTAAAGAGATTAAATCAATAATCAAAAGAATTCTAAGAAAGAAAATTTCAAAACCGGATTACTTCACTGGTGAATTTTATCAAACTTTTAAAGAAGAATTAAAATCAAACTTTCTCAAATTTTTCTAAAAAATAGAAGAAGAAACATTCATTGATGAGGCCTGTTGGATTAAAGACTTAAATGTAAAACCTAAAACTGCAGAACTCCTAGAAGAAAGCATAGGGGAAAACCTCTATGACATTGGTCTTGGCAATAATTTTCTTGGATATGACACCAAAAGCACAGGAAACAAAAGCAAAAATCAACAAGTATGACTACATCAAACTAAGACGTTTCTACATAGCAAAGGAAACAATCAACAAAATGAAAAGGCTACCCACAAAATGGAAGAAAATAT